AAGCATGTTGAAATGGACGAGAGCAAAGTGAGTGCACAGTTACCTCAACCTGCACACATTCCTCCACGATGTACTAAACGTCATAGGATGTCCTGATTGCTGACAAAGTTGATATTTGTCAGCGACAGCACAAGCATTTGTCAATGACGCATTGTAATGTGCGTCATACCCTTGTAATCTTTAACTCTGTTTATTTAAAGGCAGGTTCAGTACACTTTGAACCCCTAACTCCATAACTCAATCCACCACCATGTCATCACCCAATATCGAAGTGAAATGTTTTTCACAACGCATTGCCAATGGTATATATGACCGTGTTGCTGATGCCATAACAAATCTTGGAAAGGACGGCTTAGGTGAGGCCGATTTTGGCATTGATTGGACCACCACTGTGCAAGACAACTACAGTGGGACCAACTGGTCTTATGTCAACATGAAGGACGGTCATCCATTCAGAACCAACATTGTTGGCCAAATCGCTACTTCAGCGTGCGGCACCAAACATTCCGCCAAAGGCACACACTTCACAAAAAAGGTATGTCTGACCTTTGCTACTGTATCAACGCAATCTGACACTCGAAACAAGAACATGGCACTGAGCAACTCAGACACTGTCAAATGGAAATGGGCGCTTTCCAAACCCACACTCAGCTCACCAAATCTAATCGACATTTGGGAGAATCAGCTAACATCCATCGAAGACTGGATCATGGAGGAAAAAAAGAGAGCAGCGACAGTCAGTTCTAGACAAAATGCTGTGACAAAAACTAATCAACTCTGCAGGGTTCAAAAATAAACATGTGCATTGCCAAAAGCTCGAAAGACCTCCAATACGTGGACCTGATCATGTTGACATCACAACACATCTATGAGGTAAGCAACGAAACTACATATTCTACTTTGACAAAAACTTACTGCCTCTGACAGAAACCAGAAGGTGGCAACACTAATCAGGATGTCACACCTCGACGAACAAAGCGGAAAAATGTGAATGAAGACAGCATGGCAGGACAGCAAAACACAATGGTGTCCACAAGCTCCATAGCGAGCTCAAACACGACCTTGGATGTGCCGACACCTACTGTGGATAAAGGTATTCATGATCCTCACACTCCTGCAGAAAAGCCACTCACTTGAGAATAGTCAGTCCAGGAGCATTATACGACCCAAGAATCCTACCTGACTACCATGGGACGTATTTTCAGCTGCGACAGAACAAACTGAAGCAGCTGAATATCTATGAAACGGCTGAAAACGGTCTCAAACTCATCCCTATGCACGAATCTTACTCGAAATTGAGACCGGGAACACTCATACTTGCCGTCTGTGATGCTCACGTATACAATATGGTACAGAACGGCCAGCCAACCAGCGTGCATACAAAACAGCATCGTATGAAAAAAAAAACCTAACAAGCCCTTTCAGACTTTCCAACTCGGGATGCAAGCCATGAAGGTCCTTGATGCTTCAGATGAACCTGTCAAAGAACACTTAATCCCCATCCTTTCCACAACCTCCATTGAAATGTCAAAAAACGACTCTGCCATCGCCGGGTTCTCTACATTTGACATCGCCATCAGCCCTGCCAAAAAAAACAAGCAAAATGGACAAAAGCACAAAGGAGGGAAAGGTAAAGAGAAGATGGACTGACCGTGTCTTCCTTTTGCGACTCGAAGTAAACACCCAAAAAAACGACCTCTAGTGATCCACGGTGACTTGCACCTTTTCACCATCCACTTGTATTTGTCGCCTGCATCTCATGGTTGTGAATCATCTGCATTAATCTTCACTTGTGTTTGCACTGGCCTCCGTCTCATTGTAACACTCACCTTCATCTCACATCTGATCTGGGTTGTGACTTGTCGAGTTTGATCTTAGCTTGTACTTATATTTGACTTCAGTTTATCTCTTTGCAACTCGTCTGCATTGATCTTGACTGGTTGTGCTTATATTTATAGCATGTAGCACTCGCCTATGGAGGGAGCGACTGGACAATTTAATTGCAGTCTGGGTTGTCAACTTGTGGTCTGTTTTATTTTTTTGGTGGAACCATTACATATCGCTGGAAATAGACAGCGTCAGTGAGTCACGTGATGGTTGAAACCAATTTTTCAAACTTCATCTTTCCTCAACTTCAGCACTGAGGGAGGTGTTGGTGGTGCTGTAGGTCGGCGCACTCACACTTATGATCTTGGTAGCATCTTCGAATAACTCCACACTTCACTATGCCAACCTCGTCCAGTAGGCCCAGTCGAAACAAAAAATCATCAACTCATCGAGAAACTCGAGACTCTTCAGTCGCTGGGTTTCCACTTCGAGGATATCCACAAACTCCCTCCTCCCATCATTGCATTCGACAAAGTCGCCTTCTCATACTCAGGCAAGCCTGAAGATTACCTGTATAAAAAATCTCATGATGTGCTAGCACCTCGAAGGTGCATATGCTAACCCTAACCCTAACATTGCTCCAAGGCCAGCTGACGTGGCAATGGCCGCTACGGTTGCCAGAGGTGCCTATGAATCATACTTTTTCTCAAGCTATCAACGGATGTAAGTTTTGGAACAGATGCTACTCAAGGAATCTATCCAGCTTCTTGACAGCAAGGATAAACTGAACTAAAGTGCTTCAAGCAAGCCTGACAGGCACGTTTGGCACTCGTAACTTATTCCTTCGCTAATGCTGCCATTTGGGTGATGGGGGATGTCTGGATCTTGACTTGTACTTATATCTGTAGCACTTAAAGTCTGGGTTGGATTGATCTTGTAGCTGTAGCACTTGCAAATTGATTGACTTACATTGAAAAAATCGATTTACGTTGTGGCTCCGAAAAAGCGATCATAGCGGGCTCTGCCGTGTGTGGCCTTACGCGTTATTATATAAATTATTAGTTATGATACCATAAAGTCATGCCACTATTAAATAAATTATGAAGTGGTGTCGTTATGACATTATTACACCTATTTCTAAGTATATAATAAAGAGTATCCCATATATCATAGTTATAATTACCATAAAAGTCATCTCCTCTGCTCAAAGGGATAATATCTTTTCTCTGTCTACTGCTGGCCTCTCTACTCATCAAATAGCCTCTAGAACTGGTATATACAAGTCTACTGTAGCTAAGCTCATCAAATTATGTCACCTAGACAAGCAAAACTTCCAGTGGAGGTCATCCATCCAAACTCACCTCTACTGATAGGAGAGTTATTCAATATATCACCATAGGAAAGGCTAATAATGCTGTCCAAGTCACTTATCATATCAATTCCATCACCATCACTACTCTAGTTTCTTTATAAACAGCAAGGAATGTCCTTAGGGAAACCAATATTAGGGCTATAACAAAGAAGAAAAAGCCTTTTTTTCCATCACCTACAGGAAGAAAAGACTAGCCTTTGCCCTAGCCCATCAACACTAAACTGTAGAGGACTGCAAGCAGGTCATATGGTCAGATGAGACTAAAATCAATAGAATTGAGTCAGATGGAAAGATATATGTGTGGAAAAAGAAGTAGGGGCTCTAACAGACAGAGAGATTAATGAAACTCTCAAGTTTGGAAGAGGTTCTCTAATGGTGTGGAGCTGTATGGGGTGGAATGCTGTGGGAATGCTTGCATAAGTTGAGGGGAGGATGGATGCTAAGCAGTATGTGGACATTCTCAACCACCACTTGCTACCTAGCATGACAAAATTAGGAATTGATAAAGAAGATATCATTTTTCAATAGGATAATGATCCCAAGCATACATTCAGAAGAGCCAGAGAATGGTTTGAAGAGAACAATATTCATCTCCTTGACTGGCTAGCACAATCCTCTAATATTAATATCATTGAACATCTATCAGAAGTACTCAAGAAAAGGCTTTTAGCCTATGAACACCCTCCTAAAGTGGTATGGGAGTTATGGGAGAGAGTTCACAGTGGAGTGGAGAAAGATTATAGCAGAGGACTGTCAGAAATTGATTGAAAGTATGCCTAGAAGGATAGAGGCAGTGATTAAAGTCAAGGGAGGTCACACAAAGTACCAGAACACCTAATTATCTGTGTAAAATACTTGGAATCAAAAAACAATGATCCACATGAGTCATCATTTGGCAATGCTCATAGCTCCATCATATTATCATGGATTCCCATGGGCCAGGGCTTCAAATCATGCCCTGAAGGAGTACTACAAAATACCCTACTGACATGTCATGGATATACCTGTCTATTTATATATAATAATGTAAATAGTGAAAATAGTGCAAATATGTGGACAGTTTTTTGAGCCACTATGGGCATACTGGCTATAAGCCTACCTCTCTTTGTGGTTGACCATCATGATAAGGAATTCATCCTTATAGGTAATTTCATTCTGTTCTACCTTATGCTTATTGTTTGTCTGTGAGAAGGATGACCACATTGAAAAACAAAGGATATTTGGGTGGGGACCTTCATTAACTTGCCGAAGCCTCATGATCTTACTATACAAACAGAAAGATCATTGTATCCCAGTGGACAGTGGTGTCACTGGTTAGTAAGTGTCCCTCCTTCTGAGTATGATCAATCTGACAGTAATTTCAGGACCCTCTCTCATAATCCACTGGACATCCCTCCAAACCTTAAGGCATTCAAGTCTGCTTGTTGACTTGATGCAGAAGAATGTGTAAGAGACAATCTCGATCTCAGCAGTAGGCATCATCTTTGTGGGGCTGGTTCTTTTATTCATGGTCCTTCAGCTGCTGTATTTGCCTTAGAAACATGTTGCAAATAGGTAAGATCATGTTGTTCATCCAGATACTCCTATCAACCTGTCCACAAGCACAGTTCAATGTTCTTCCAAGAGGATTTATTATGCCTTTCAGCTCACATTCAATTGCAGAAAGTCATTGTGTGATATATGGCTTTCACTGGCATGCATGATGGTTTATCAAATAAACAGCTATGCACATTAATTTCAGTGCTTGAGAGTGTGGCAGGGCATAGACCTAGTATTGACCAAGATAGATGACACTGTTGTATCGGATATGATGTAATGGTTAACATTACCTCTCATTTGTAGTTTACAGTAGCTCAGGCTTCAATTCCCTGTATCTGAATTGTCTACAATAATTCTTGGGTGTTTTTGAAGTACTGTATAATTTTGACCTTAGGTTTGTCACATTGTAGCTAGCTTGATGAACTGAACCTATTGTTGTGATGGTGTGGGGAGCATTTCTACACTAGGCTCATATCCATCACTTTTCAATATACTCATATGTTGATCTGACATCCATCCAACCCATCCATCATCCATCCAACCCATCCATCATCCATCCAACCCATCCAATATACATCCAATATGCATCTGCTATCTGGATGATAAGCAGATATCCCTTGGAACCCTTCCTATAGCTCGCACATCTGCCACATCTGTCCTGTCCATGTCCATTCTACCTCATTGGTATGTACTCATATGCATTTTACTGTTACTGACTGAACACGGATGTATCCTCTCACACTCCACTATTTTCTAGATAGCTTATGGCACAGTCTAGACTCACTGTCTACAGAGGAAAATACTAGTACCCTATGAGCATGGAAGTTTTTCAGAAAACTGAGGAGGTACTTCCTCTCACTTTTCCTTCACCTTACCAGACTATGACTTTGACTTATACCCACTATCCATCTAACCTATAATGAACTTCCTTTGACTTTGATTCTCATACCATGTGTATCCACAAGTTCCATTTGTCATCCAATGAAACTGTACATTCCAAATCCTATCTGCTTCATCTGCTTTTGTGGATCCCTCATCCTATCTGTGGTAGGATCCTATAGGGTCATTTAAGACAGAGACTAGCACTTCCCAGTAGTAATCCCCTTTAGGGTCAAACATGCTTGTTCTCAAGTGAGGCAGCAGGTAGCAAAGACGCAACTTTGGAGTAGTTTGAGTATCCTCTACTCTATTTGTTGTACCCACAATGGTCACAGCTGTTTTTGGGTCAATGAACCTAATTCTGTGACATAACATATGATATGTTTGTTTTAAGATATGTTTTTTTATGAAAACATTCACCAAACCACCTTTTTTCCCTTCTTATTGTCATTTTTGGACTATACTCTGTGTAGAAAGTACATATATTATCCTACTGATGAACATGTATATATGAACCTTATGAACCTATTGTAAGTTTGTCACAGCTGTCCTCGAAGAGACGAACCTGTCACAAAACCATTAGCAAATGCAACCTTTACATTGCTTTGGGACATGCAGAGGTAAGTCATATCACATCTGCACAGCCATGGCCAAACACATACCCCAAAAACGCTGGGCCAAGCCCCAACAGCATTCAACAACTGTCAAATTTTCCAGTGTGAGGAGAATGAAGGGCAGAGAAATGTGAGTGTTCCATGTCGTTCAAGTGTGTGCACTGAGGTGTCAAACATCAGTTCCTTTCTGATGCTGTTTGGTGGGCTCTTCCTTCTCTCACTGCAAGAAGGACATGCCGCCACTCTGAAGCTTCATAAGTCTGTTCCATGCTTATTTCATTATGACTTATGTTGGCCTCAGCTTGTGGGTCTATCTTGGTGCTTTCTGCATGTCCCATGCTAAGCCCAGCGGTTTGCTGCTTCATAGGATATGCATTTTTTTTGCTGGAGCCTCTCTTTGTTGTGTGTCCCAGGCAAGAGTCAATTTTTTTTGTGTTCATGGGACATGCACCTCTTGCTTATGGTACATCTCTCTTCATTCTTTTAAAATAGATGTTTCATAACATGCTTACAACAGCTCAGAAGGAGCAAGCGACACTTCACATGATGTTCCCTGCCTTTTCACCATTGACAATGCTCATGACCAGACACCCATGCACCAGCACTCTTTGTCCTCCCTGCAGGACACATCATTTGGAACCTGATGTATACCCCGTGCATCCTTGCCTGCTCTGGCACAGGCAAGTTGCACCACCATCTTGGTTTACTGAGCTGTCATGGCTGTGAGGTCAACAATGAGTTCATGTGTCATGTTTCACGTTGTTAAGAGGTTTGAATTTTCTGCTGACCTTATCTGCAGTATTGCTGATCAGTCCTTCTCCATAGTATACCACCCTTCACATATTTTCTACCTCTTGGGAGCCCATATTCAAGTTGCCTCCCATCAACCCATGACCATGAGTCATCTCTCCAACACACTTGTCACTCACCTTTTGTACCCCCCTAGTTGCCTCACATGCCCATCAGTTGCCTTCCTGTGTCCTCTGGCACCCTCTACTTGCTTCCTGGTGCCCTTGAAGCACCTCTACTCTGTGTATCTTTTTGTATTGTTGACCATACACTTTTTTTACTCTCTGTAGGCTCTATTCTTCACTGTTGTTACTCATGCCATTGTTTTTCAAATCAGTGAAGGTGGCTTATGTAATATATTTGTTTTGGCCCCCTCTTATTGGTTCTGCAACATGATCAGCTGCCACCACCATGTCCGAGACCACCATGTAGCCTGTACCACCCCTGCACAATTTTAATGAGAAGGCTGTGATTGAAAAAACAGGTCTTTGCCCCACACTGCAAGCTTAGTGCTGCCGAAGTTCGGTTCCATCCAGTTTTTTCAAGATATCTGAGGACCGAGAACCAAACCTCGGTCAGGTTCACATAGGTAGGGCAGACTCTGGGCTGGACCACTTTGAACAGGTTCAGGACAGTCCAGTTCAGGTTTGGACCAGTTTGAATTACCAAATGTAACATAATAATTTGTAAAATTTGCCAAGAGATCTACAAAAAATTGACAGCTATGATCAACTACTCAACAACAACATTTTGATGAGCAACAAGCTCAGCCTGCACCATTGCCGAGACATGGCCTTGACAGTATGCACACTTCAACAGTTGAAGTGCCTCAAACATTGTTGGCAGCAAGGAGTTACAATGTGTGGTTCCGGTGATGCTGCCACTTGAGAATGCCCGTTCAGATGCAACAGCGGACCCCTGAATAGCAAGATGGTCTTTTGCAATGCGAGCAATGGTAGGATATTGAATAGAGTGATGCTTTAAAGAAATATTCATCAGGTTGCAAGGAATGAGGATATGAGGGAAATGAACTCACACCCCACCATGCCACAACATTCTCAATATCCTCCAGTGGTGCACCTAAATAATCCTCAAGTTCCTGGTGAGGCCTTTGACAAGCTGCATCATGCGAGATACAAGCTTTGATTGCATCACACATCCAACTATGGCCGTATGAACCCTGGTGCAAGAGGGATGGTACATCAACAGAATGTGTTGCTGTGACAGATGAAGGGGGGGCACAATAATACTTATCGAACTAGATACTAAGTCAGTGTGAAGACAATTTACTGAGAGACCCATGGACTTACCACATCTTCGAGCTGTTTCATGCCATTGTCGAAGTCCTGAGACACTCATTTTGCCCTAGCATAGGCCACTTTATAGTTTGGATCAAGGGCTGCAAGAAAGGGTCCCATCAGAATGAGGTGTGAAATAAGAATGAGGTACGTACCAAGGCAGATGAAGTAGACATCTATGTCATTTGTCTTTCAATACCACTTACAAAGATTGTCAAGGCCAGACATGATGGATGCAAAAGGCTGTCAAATTTCGATGTGCCAGCCATGCTTTCCCATGTCTCTTGAAGATATTCAAGAACAGGAATAGTGTGCCATACTGTAGGTTCCCAAGTAGCTGAGAATGTCTGTTGAGCATTGGCAGGCTCCTGTACAGTGTTGTGCTGGTTAATAGGAAGGTACAGGAGAGAGATAAAGGAACTGACCTGCAGCATGTCTCGAATTAATTCCAACTTCAGCCACTCTTGTTGTGTGATCTTGAATGCTGAATATGTCTTCCCTTGTAAATTGGGAACTTCTTCACTGTCATCAGCTGAGCTGCGTGAACCTGTTCACTCCCTAGAAATTCAAATTAATCAAATAGTACAAGCATTTCAAAAGATAGAACAAACCTTGCATAAGTGAATTGTCCACTCCAACATTTTGAAGAGTGACGCCCAACATGTTTGAATCCATTTGAGAAGTTCAAGAGTGGGAACATCAATCTCAGCACAGCACTTATTAAAGAATGCATGAGCTTGTGGGGACTTTTGTATCTGTGTGACAAGTGAAAGGGCTTTACCAACAGTATTGGCGACATCAAAATCAGTCTCATGTCATCATCACCTTCTTCTGTTGCCTTCTTAAGTAAAGCACTCGTGGATGTTGGAGCAACCCTCTCAACAAAATGCTTTGCTGCAAGATGCAGTGCATATTCCATACAATGGACACAATGCTCAACTGGGTCCCAGTTGATACCAGAAGAGTCAATGGCCTTCACAACAGTTTGAACAGCAGTGTCATTGTTCATAGCATTGTCAGCTGTGAACCAGCCAACCTAAGATTGAACCATTAGATAAACAGTAAGTATAACAACGCAAATACTCACCTTTTGCATATATTGTGGTTATCGATGACTTCAATCAAAATGCTACCAATGTTGGCACCACTGTGGTTACCCTCAATCGGCCTAAAGGCAAGCTGCTCCATCTTCAGCTCCCACTCCAGAGGCTTGTCAGTGGGTGAGTCAATATAGTGTGCTATGACAGAAAGGAATGGGTCGCCCATTTCAGATGTCCATGAGTCAAATGTCATTGAAATCTTGCTATCAACGTGCTAAGATAATTGTAATGAGTGAAAAGCAGTGAGTGAGCATTACAATTAGTACTTACTGTGAGTTTTTCCTTGACTCACTCAACAGCAAGTTTCGCTCTCTCGAGAATCTCATCCTGCCATGCCTTAGTGCAGTGTGGAATATCTTGATCCAAAAGGCTTGACCAGAGGTATTGAAGGAGGTGGCGGAATGGGCCTTTGTCAACAAGTTGAAATGCCTGCAAAAGCATGAGGATCTGTCTTGGTGAAACAAATAATGAAAGTTGCAAACCTCATCCTCAACAATAATGAGCTCCACAATATAGTCAACAAGGCCTGATTTTGAAAATTGAGGTGGCTTTGGGACGAGGACACAATCAAGATTTTGCTGCCCTCCATCAGATACCTTGATGTTCATGGGAGTAGCATGCTCATGCATAATGATACCTTTCTCCTCGCAGCGACTCTTG